GCATCTCCATTATTTCCATCCTAGTCCAGGCCATGATCTCCTCTTGGGTTACTATAACACTGTGTTAACTAGTCTCTGCTTGGAAGACTCTTATTCCCTAAAATCCATTCTCATATTCTCCCCTGTTTTACACTTCCAATGGTTTGTTTCTCTAGTTAAAACAATATTGTAACTCCTTACCTTGCTTACAAGGCCCTTTAAAAGGCCCTGCCTGATCTACTCCTGATCACCTCCCCAACCTTGTCACAAAACATTGTTTCCCTTGCTCGCTCATTATACTACGCTCACTATACTACTTATGCACAGTGGTCTTTTTTCTGCTCCTTGAGCATAGCAGTGTCAGTCCTAGGTTAGGATTTCTATAGAACATAACTGGCTGCTTGTCAAGTATTTCTCTCAGAGAGACCTTCACATTCCATGACCATTCTCTTGAGAGTAGCCTCCCCTCCCAGTCATTCTCTGTTCCATGTGCTTATTTTATTTTCTTCACATCACTTATATGAAATTACCTTATTTATTTCCTTTTTTTAACTGTTGCCCTACAATAAAATGTTCATGGTCACTGTTACATCCTAAGCACTTCGAAAAATACTTGGAAGGCTCTCAATAAATATTTATTTAAAGAATGCTAATGAAAAAACGAGCAAGCCTTCAACAATATAAAAATCTGGCTGGGATTTAGGAAAGAAAAAACTGATTTATCAGGCACCTAAGGAAAATTTGTTTTTCTGGATCTAATAGATGGGAAAGAGTATAAGTATACTATGCTGTTAAGATTAAAGACTTTTGGGCCGGCCCGGTGGCGCACTGGAGAGTGCACCGCTTGGGAGCGCGGCGGCGCTCCTACCGAGGGTTCGGATCCCATGTGGAGACCGGTTCCCGCTCACTGGCTGAGCGCGGTGCGGGCGCAACACCTAGGGTTGCGATCCTGTTGCCGGTCCCCGGTAAGGGCGCGACACCGAGGGTTGTGATCCCATTACCGGTCAGTAAAAAAAAAAAGACAAAAAGGAAAAAAAAAAAAAAGATTAAAGACTTTTGAATGCCAAGACCATTCAATGGGCAAAGAATAGTCTTTTCAATAGGTAGTGCTGGGAGAAGTGGATAGCCACATGCAACAGAATCAAACTGCACCTGTACATCACACCATACACAAAACTTAACTGCCTCAAGACCTAAATGAAAGAGCTATAACTATAAAAATCTTAGAAGAAAACATTGGAGTAAATCTTTGTGACATATAAGGAATGGTTTCTTATATATGACACAAAAAGCACAAGTGACAAAAAAAGAAACTGAACTTCATAAAAATGAAAGGCTTTTTGTTTCAAAAGACACCATCAAGAAAATGAAAAGACAATCCATGAAATGGGATAAAACATTTGCAAATCATCTATCTGATAAGACACTTGTATCCAGAATATATAGTCTTAAAAGTGAACAACAAAAAAACAATTAAAAAAATGGGCAAAGATTTTGAAAAGACATTTCTCTAAAGAAGATATAGAAATGGCACATCCAAAATGTTCAATATCATTAGTCGTTAAAGAAATGTGAATCAAAATCACAATGATATAACCACTTACCTAGGATGGCTATAATAAAAAAGAATTCAAAGAATACAAGTGTCGGTGAGGATGAGGAGAAATTGTAACCATAGTACATTGCTGGTAGAATTCTAAAATGGTACAGCAACTTGGAAAACATTTTGGCAGCTCCTCAAAATGTTAAACATTGAGTTACCACCATATGACACAACAATTCCACTCTCATATAAACAAATGGATGTTTATTCAACTGAATTTCTGAATTTTGAGAATGTGCAGAAGAGGAGGAAAGGATGAACACATGGCACCATTCCAACTCCTTAAATTACTTTTTCAACAACTGAGTTAAAGGCTGTACATAAAAATAACCTTGCTTGTAAAAGGAGGAAAACTTTATATATTCTGGATATTAGTCCTTTGTCAGATGTGTATTTTGCAAATATTTTCTCCCACTCTGTTGGCTGTCTTTTAGCTCTGTTAATTGTTTCTTTTGCTGTGCAGAAGCTTTTTAGTTTGATATAGTCCCATTTGTTTATTTTTCCTTTGGTTGCCCGTGCTTTTGGAGTCATATTCATGAAGTCTGTGCCCAGCCCTATTTGCTGAAACGTTTCTCCTATGTTTTCTTTAATAAGTTTTACTGTTTCGGGGTGTATATTTAAATCCTTAATCCATTTTGAGTTGATTTTAGTACAAGGTGAGAGATATGGGTCTAGTTTCAATCTCCTGCAAATGGATAACCAGTTATCCCAGCACCCTTTGCTGAAGAGGGAGTCCCGACCCCAGTGAATAGACTTGATGCCTTTGTCGAAGATCAAATGGCAGTAAGTACGTGGGTTGATTTCTGGGTGCTCTATTCTATTCCATTGATCAGTGTCTCTGTTTTTATACCAGTACCATGCTGTTTTGGTTATTATAGCTTTGTAGTATAGTTTAAAGTCAGGTAGAGTAATACCTCCAGCTTTATTTTTTTTGCTCAGCGTTGCTTTGGCTATTCATGGTCTTTTGTTATCTGCAAATGGATATTCAGTTATCCCAGCACCCTTTGCTGAAGAGGGAGTCCTGACCCCAGTGAATAGGCTTAATGCCTTTGTCGAAGATCAAATGGCAGTAAGTGTGTGGGTTGATTTCAGGGTGCTCTATTCTATTCCATTGATCAGAGTCTCTGTTTTTATACCAGTACCATGCTGTTTTGGTTATTATAGCTTTGTAGTATAGTTTAAAGTCAGGTAGAGTAATACCTCCAGCTTTATTTTTTTTGCTCAGCGTTGCTTTGGCTATTCGTGGTCTTTTGTTATTCCAGATAAATGACTGTATAGTTCTTTCCATTTCTGAGAGAAATGTCATAGGAATTTTGATGGGGATTGCATTAAATTTGTATATTACTTTGGTTAGTAGTCATCTTCACTATATTGATTCTTCCAATCCAGGAGCATGGGATGTCTTTCCATCTTCTTGTATCCTCTCTAATTTCTCTCAGAAGTGGTTTATAGTTCTCGTTATAGAGATTTTTCACATCCTTAGTTAGTTCAATTCCTAGGTATTTTATTTTTTTGGCAACTACTGTGAATGGGCAGGCTTTCTTGATTTCTCTTTCTGCTTGTTCACTATTGGTGAAAAGAAATGCTACTGATTTTTGTGTGTTGATTTTGTATCCTGCTACTGTGCTGAACTCTTTTATCACCTCTAAGAGTTTTTTAATAGATGATTTGGGCTGTTCGATATATAGGATCATGTCATCTGCAAACAGGGACAGTTTGACTTCATCCTTTCCAATCAGGATGCCCTTTATTTCCTTCTCGTTTCTGATTGCTCTGGCTAATACTTCCAAAACTATGTTGAATAGGAGTGGTGAGAGTGGGCATCCTTGTCTGGTTCCTGTTCTTAAAGGAAAAGCTTTCAGTTTTTCCCCATTCAGGATGATATTGGCAGTGGGTTTATTATATATGGCTTTGATTATGTTGAGATACTTTCCATCTATACCTAATTTATAAAGGGTCTTTATCATGAATGAGTGTTGGATTTTATCAAATGCTTTTTCGGCATCAATAGAGATGATCATATGGTCCTTGTGTTTGATTTTATTAATATGGTGGATCACATTTATTGATTTGCATATGTTGAACCAACCTTGCTTCCCTGGGATGAATCCCACTTGATCGTGATGAATGATCTTGCATATGTGTTGTTGTATTCTGTTTGCTAATATTTTATTGAGGATTTTTGCATCAATATTCATCAAGGATATCGGCCTGTAGTTTTCTTTCTTGGTTATATCTTTACCTGGTTTTGGTATCAGGATGATGTTTGCTTCATAGAATGAGTCTGGAAGCTTTGCTTCTGTTTCAATCTTTTGGAATAGTTTGTATAGAATCGGTGTCAATTCTTCTTTGAATGTTTGGTAAAATTCTGCTGAGAATCCATCTGGTCCCGGGCTTTTCTTTGTTGGGAGATTTCTGATAACATCTTCAATCTCCTTTAATGTTATCGGTCTGTTCAGGTTTTCTATATCTTCTTGATTTAATTTTGGAAGCTTGTGTGAGTCCAGAAATTTGTCCATTTCCTCTAGGTTTTCGAACTTGTTGGCATATAGCTGTTTATAGTAGTCTCGCCGGGGGTGGGGTGGGGAAGAAGATATAACAACTATACTTTTATGAAGTTGTTACAACAAGCAAACGGAAAGGACATTCTTGGGGGGGAGGGGAGAGAGGGAGGAGGGAGGGAGGTGTCGGTGATGGGCCATAATAATCATATACATTGTATATTGACAAAATAAAAATTTAACGAAAAAAAAAAAAAAAAAAGAGGAGGAAAACTGCTGTGTTGAAAGCATCTCATATGCATTTTAGCTGAAACTGTTTTATAATCAAGAGCCTTTTGTATACTATCAGTTTTAGACTAACTTTGAGGCCTTAAGCAAATCAGTTAACCTCAATAAGCCTGTCTCTTCCTTTCTAAAATTGGAATAACAATATCTAATCTGTCTCTCAGGATTATTATATAGTTAACTGTAAAAAGAATTGTGAAATACTTGTGTAAATAATAAAGAGCATTAGCACAACATATCATTTATGTACAGCCTGTATGCATTTCAGTGCTTATACAATTTATTCAGCATACACCCACTGGAACTGTATTTTTTGGTGTCTCTTACATATTAAGCATCATACAAATTTTTTTATCAGAGAATGAAATGACCTTGCTGGTCCCTTACTGAAAGCAGAAACCAATCAGTTGGTATTCTTAAATCTTCTAAAGTCTGAAGCTACTTGCTAAATATTCACCCTTACTGAATTCTCAAGGTCCAGTATTATAATTCTTTGATAAATTAGAGCTCCAATAAGGAAAGTACATATCAGGTAACTTTTGTAAAAGTTAATGGTGCATTCCAATTCTTTAGCGCATCATAATGAGAACTATAGTTTGAAAGTTATCCTCCTAGTAATAAAAACTACTTACTTTTGCAGCACAGGATCGTATCACCTCCTAAAAGAAATACAATACAATAAAGAAGTATTCATAATTTCATTTAAATAAAGTATTGACTCTTTTCAACACATTCAGATGTTAATCTTCTAATAACAAAAATTAGCATTTGGGAGAGTTTCTTTGTCTCTCTGCAGTTGTCATTCCGCACTGTTTCCAATGAGCTGGAAGGAGTACAAATTGAAGAAATAGACTTAACATGTTCGTGGTAAATCTAATTTGCCAAAACAAAAGGCACTGACAGACTCCTGAGGGCCCACATCTATCTGCCTCAAGAAAAACCCATCTCAATAAACTTAGTATAAATACTAAAATTCTGTACTAGAACACTAAAAGGTCTAAAAGACCGAAGCTGAGTTAATTACAGTATGATGAGGGTACCTCAAAAAGTTCATGGAAAGGCTGGTTGGTTAGTTCAGTTGGTTACAGGGCAGCCCTACAACACCAAGGTCAAGGGTTTGGATACCCATACTGGCCATCAGCCAGAAAAAAAAAAAATTGTGGAAAAACAGAATTAAAAAATATGAATCTTTCCATGAATTTTTTTTGAAGTACCCTCATATATAATTACCTCTACAAATAGCAAAAATATCCATAAATATAATTCCCATATTAATGGTTTAAATCAGATAAAACCTGATAATAAACACTACTAAATGTTAAACTATATGACTAGTATTGAAGGAGCTACAGAAACTGTCTATCACTCATGGGACAAGGCCAAGAAAAGGTCAGTTTTGAAAGAGAAATTAGTAAAAACCAAAATATAATAAACAATTTGAAAATTTGCTGCTAAGAAGACACCAGAATTACTTAGCTACAATTGGGGTTGACCAGCATATATCATTAGCCTAGTACAGAACTAGACAAAAATGGTAACAATCAACTTGGAGTTTAGAAAAAAAGAAAACTGAAATAGCGGAATATGAATTTTTTTTTTTTTTTTGTCTTTTGTCTTTTTCCGTGTCCGGCAACGGATCGCAACCCTCAGTGTTGCCCCCGTACCGGACCGGGAACCAGCAATGGGATTGCAACCCTCGGTGTTGCTCCCGCACCTCGCTCAGCCAGTGAGCTGGAACCGGTCTGTATGTGGGATCCGAACCCTCGGACGGGAGCGCCGCCCCGCTTCCCCAGCGCAGCACCCAC